TCTATCGTATGTTTGTACTTCCCATTCTCGAGTATTGTTGCCCATTCTTTGGTTTGATGAATGAAGCCAGTCGTTTAAAAATTGAGAATGTCCAAAGACGTTTTACTAAAGAACTTTTAGATAGGGAACATCCCAATATCTCCTACTCAGATAGATGCCAGCTAGATAACCTAAAATTTTTATGGGTTCGAAGACTAGAAGACTACTACTTCCAACAATGGTATTACCGATATGTTAATTAGAAATCTAACCAAGCTAACCATTTAGACGGGGACTCGTTGTCTTGACGGCCGAAATCGGGAATAAACAAGGGTAGAGGGCGTCCACCGATCGTTCCTACGGAACTCAGTCGTCCCATCGTGCCTTACGGGCTTTATCTCGAGCCCAAACAGCAAAGATCGGTAAGCGCCCCTCTACCAATGTATATTCCCGATCGCAACCGACAAGACAACCAGCCACTGGCTCGTTGGTTAGAGACGTAAGACTTTTAAATAACATGTCGCGGGATCGAGCCCGAGGTGTCCCACACATCGTGTTGGGTACGACTGGCTGAAACAGCTAATGAGCCAGGAATGGGCATATCAGTCTCCTTGTTTATGCCGACAATACCATTCTGCGTATATCATACGCCGCTGTGCGGCTGCTGATTGGGCTCTAATAAGAGCCTGTAAGGCACAACGGAACGAGTGAGTTCCGTAAGAACGATTAGTGAACGCCCGTCTTCCACTTCGCACAATATTTTCTTAGCGCCTCAAACTGCCACTCCGCCCACAGTTTCGCATACATTTCATTAGTAAGAAATCATCGTTTTTATAAAGATGCGCCTCCAGCAGCGGATAAATAACTCAATAAACTGGATGTTGGCATTGTTTTATCTCATCATTAAGTTTTCTCCTAAGGGAAGATTACTGAACGCTTTCAAAAATAACGAAAAACTTCGCAGTAGAAGGGTTGGATACCTACAACAAATGCGGAAAAAAATGCAACGGAGTTCACAACCCAAAAACTAAAAACAAACGAACAAACACACCGTGGTTAGTTAAAACAAACAAATTGCATATCTCAGAACGCTAAAAAAGCTTACAAATATGGTAATCATAGTAAAAATGCGATAAACGATACGTTTGATTTCTAATATTTTTAACTGACTATCGTCAAAGTTCGTCGTTTGCCATTTAGTTCACCGAAAAAACAACTCAAATGACAGGCACGTCCTTACTGCCATATCCAACCGGCTGAGGTTTCCAGGCGGTCCACTGGAAGCTCGGAGACACGAAAAGCCCAAATTTTGATTGGACTGCCTGAAATTTCCAAAATCGACAACAAACTGCAAACTTGCCATCTGATATTCTCGAAGCCAGATCATCAACAATTCATTGCCGATGTATTTACCATTTTCGCACCAGACGCCTAACACGTGTTCGCAGCTAAAATGCTTCTTTTAGTACTACAGTGTACGCGTTAGGAGGTAGTAACCAAACCAACTCTTTCGGGAACGAGCACATAGCCTGCGAACGTCCAGAAAGCCATCCCCCATGAAAAGTCTGGCCAGTTCTACCTTTTTGATCGGCAAAAATTCATGGATGAGGTTCACTTTATGAACGTTGCCATAATTCTGTCAGTCTTTCAGTGAACCACTTCAAAATCATGTGGGCGCTTCTTGCCTTGGTACTGTAACTGCTTGACTAAAAATACACCTAGCCTTGCTATCTATTACTTAGCCGATTTTTTTAATGGAAGTATCACCCAAGCATAACTTTGAAAAAAGTAAACTAAGGAGGCGTCGCAGGAGTCATTTCCGCTCGCGTGAAAATGTCGACTAATCGCCAGATGGCTAAAGACATTCCGCAAATTGTTGCCGCTGGTGACTCGTACTGATGGACGCTGAAAAATTTCCGGAAAGGTGTGTACGCGTTTCCCCCACTAATGTCTAGAATGCAATATCACAAAGGTTATACTGAACGTTATCCACAATATTTCATGCCCCAGCCATTGTACGAAATTAGAAGCATGTGGTAAGTTAGTGGATGCTCGTTCAATCGTTCCATTGACCCAGGCAGCCAAACCTGAACAAATTGTGCTCATTGCATTCATCAGGAGCCGACCTTATGGAGGTAATATAAGTCTTAATTCTTGATAACAAAAGCACTAAAGTTGTATTTTTGGATTGTATTTACCGATATCGTCAATCATGATTGTTGAACATATATGTTCAACGCTGTTTGCAATATTCTATAGAGCACCCTAGTTAGGGTATTCTGAAGGTTAACCTTTAGAGATTATTTGACCAATGCGTTTTTCATCTTCGTTTCTGCCTCTATCTTAGTAGAGCAGTCAAGGTTTCTCTTGATATATCGTTGCGCACGGAACGTATAACTTAGTCTGACTGGCTTACATGAGCCATCAATAGAAATCAACGACCTTTCTTACGGAATTCTGCATCTGTTTGTGAGCCCAAATGATATTGATAAAGTAATTCTTTTGTTTAAGATCGACCAATTATCCTTGCCATAATTGTATAAACAAAAGAGAACAGGTCCGTTCTACGACAAATGGCTCGTAACATTAGTCCGACGAGTCTGAAAACATAAGTGAGGATGAAATATCCGCTTTTTAATTTCGACTAATATTTCTTCCAGGTAGTGTAGCTACATCCCATTTTTAGTAGAATATGAGGGACCCTTCGCGGTTAGTGCGTCTTATTAGGCGTAAAATGTGCTCAAAATTTTGCATCAGTGTTATTAAAATGAAATTTAGTTTTGCAAGATGATACTATCGCTGATTCTGCTGGCTGCGTCACTCTTTCTCCTACTTGTGGTAGTTAGCTGCACAAACGTAGGACGGCCCACAGACTTACTTACTCGGTATTTCAGGGGACACAACCCTGAAGGCCAACAACGTGCGGTAAATAGGAACTCCTGATTTATTAATTACAGGAAACAAAACTTTCATTTCGACCTGGTTAGCTCCTATAATCTATAATATACGAAACTTGCTTATTTTTGTAGATGAATTGGATAATATTTTCCTCGAACTTGACTATAGTTCGTTTCCTCATTTGAAATTTATTAATTAACCCTATGTAATCTGAGTTGGGAAACCCATCCAGTTTTACTCACGATTCTTAATCGACAGAATAAGTGGAACGCTGTGACGTCATGGTTCGTTGGAGATGCACTAACAAGTAGGATATTCGGGGAACGAAGTACTTCTTTCAAAAGTCGGAACAAGATTTTTTCCTGTTCAGTTAAGAAGATACGGCTAGCAAACGAGCGGCATAATTTAGCATTCAAGTAAAATACGAAAATGTGCACATATTCCTCGTTCGATTTCCAACTTTGAAAAGTGGTTCGTTGTTTACCTTCAGCGTCCAAGCGATTTCGGCAGGCTGAACTGTTACAGAAACCGTGCTTTTGCATTTAACTTTGCTTGCTTAAGCATCAGAATTCAAGAGTGCTTATTGGATCTTCTGAAAAATGTTGCATATAAAACGCGAACAAATTTTGCACAAGTCAAATCTAAGAAGACTAAAATAAAACTATTAAGTCGAGTCTTAGTAGTGTTTTGCTTCCAATTTTAAGAATGTTTTCATGGGAAACAGGTTTTTGTCTATTAGTATCCGGATTTAATTATCTTTTGACCACCACGGAAGTGGCTTTTATAAGAAGTAGTGCCACCTATGTTTAATGATATATAATTGTAATATCTGAGCAAACGGTTAACTTCGAAAAACATACTGGGTTAAAAGCACCACCACACTTTCAACGCGATTTTATGACTTTGTGCTGACGCGAAGTCTACCAAAACTCAAAGGAAACATTCTAATATTTTTGGGCGTAGTGTGATTGGATGCAAAGTTCACGGAGGCTTGTAATGCATTTCATTTGCAGCACGTCTCACTCTCCCCTTAAAGACTAACATTTTTAATGATACCAAGCCAATTTTGTCTCTAGAAGTTGAACAATTTTCATGACCCTCTTTTGCCTTTAGTCAGCATGAAAACAGTCCTATAACTATTTGTATTTTTGGCATTTATTGCATTTTTGAGCTAGTGGTTTCTAGATCAAACAGGGTGTAGCATCTTTTTTGATTTTCTATTCTTGTCTGTGACTAAAATCGAGTAAGGCCAACGCGATCTTAAGAAATAGGTTTTATTTACTGAAACAGACTCGGGTCAGTCTTCGTGAGACGGTTCGCGTATCACCTAAGCCATTGGTTAGGTAACTGTATTATTTCTCTTTGAAGAAACGTTACGATATCAACCGTATGAAATTTTAGCTGAAAACGATAGACTATAACGTGACTACGGTAAAATCTAGAAGTTTTTCGTCCTGTTTTACTTACAACCTCTCCACATGGTGTCAGAATCACACCTGCCTAAAACTCATGCACATTGTGCGTCTCAAAAGGCCGGAATATCTGTTCCTCCAATTTGTTCATTAACCATTTTCTCTCAGAAATGCTGGATAAAGTGGAATTCTCAAGGTCTTCTGGATTATCATGCGAAGTCGTCGGCAGCAAATCACCCAGACTGGTACGCTCGCAGGATGGCCGATGTTCGAGCGACGGACTTGAAATACACTCAGAAATGGGCCTACGACAGGTGGGGCAAGCCAAATAGCCTCAACGCGCTTGGTTTTATCGGACCCGAAGAAGTCGTGAAAACTAGAGAAACTCGATTTTTCTTGAGAGATTGTAGCACAAGAAGGCCTCAGAAGGTGTCTGCAGACATACCGACTGTTCGTTATGGACAGCTCCATCCGCCACATTACGATCAACCAATGCGAGCTGAACTCTTTCCGCCTCTGGTTGACGCAAAACATTTGCCAAGCCTGCATCGCACATGATAGTAAATGGAGATATATCGGCCCTCATCACGCCTATTACTTATTTTGATAGTCGGATATGGCCTAGAATCAACTTACAATGAACTCCTATCGACTGACTCTGTGAGGAGATAAATGGGTACGGTAGCGTCATTGTGGAGGTCTTCAGCAAATAAAGACATCTTATTCCCTTTATCTTCTTTGTCCCGTCAAAGTAATGAGTAATCGTCAGACGTAGAGTATTGGTTGACTGATATCAACTGTGGAAACCTCGATGTCTTTTTAAGATGTTTTAAGACCCAAAGAGGCTTTTTTTCCAAGGTTGCCATCTATCGCAACTACCCGAAAGCTGGCTTTGCTGGGAAAGATTATGAGTCAAATAACCATTCTCGCAAAATTGAAAGTAGCCCTGATCAGTGAGAGAATCGTGATAGCTGCAATTTTAATAAAAGCAAAATGTACGATTCTTCCAAGTCTCCCGAAATCTGTCATTTTACCATTCATTCACGCTCTAAGTGTTGAGAAAGCCGAACTTATGCTCGGGAGCAATTCCAATTGCTTATTTTCCGTCCAAGGATTTTTGCACAACTAATTTGCATGTCTTTTTACTTGTCAGAAGTTCCGGCTTCGCTGTTTTGCCGAGTTTCGACATGGCCAAAAATCGGAAACAGCCTTTATTCTGCTCCGTTAATCTGTTAGAAATAGACAGATCACAATAATGCTTCGATCCCGTTTCTGCACGTCTCAGCTTATGTGCCTTCCAGTTGACTGCTAACTTTGGAAATATCTGCAAGGTTACGTGCTGAAATGATCATTTTCTAAAGACAACGCCACACATGCACTATCTAGGGCAGAGTTAACTGAAAAAGAAATACGACCTGGAACTCCACGGCAAGGTGGGAGCAGGCACGGTGACTTGTGCGTGATTTATTTTATAGTGGCAGTAGACTTTCATAGCATCTACCGCACTCTCTCCACCTACTTCCCACCTGGGCCCGGTGTCAAGACAGATTCAAGAGGACGGGGGGGAGGGCGGGAGAGGACGCAGGTGGAGGGCACAGCCGAACCCGCACCTAGGCGTACCACCACATCCTATGGTGCACACAGCAAATAACCAGGATTTTAACCGATAAAATCATCAGCACCGAAGGCGGCCGTAGAGGCAAGAGTGACTGGGCAGCGGGAGCGCAAGCGCATCCACCGACAGGGAACTAGGTTTCGGGGAGCTTCTAGCACATACCAGGCTGCGAGCGCCATGATTTGCTGATACCAGCATAGCACACGCTTTCAGACCTTTTGGTTTAGAGGTGCGACACGTGGCTCTGCATGTGCCCCGGCCGTCGCTCCTCAAGGCTGGGTAACCAAACAGTCCTCGAATGAGAGGCACTACCGATAGAGCCCGCGCACACTCCTCACATGCGCGAGTGTCACAGAACACTTGGGAGTTAATTGCTCAGCCTGGATCCCTGCCCATCAGTCCGTCACCACACAACACACAACTGGGCAGACTGCGTGGACTGAGTCGGGACGTCAATCGGCCACGGCGCTCTGCACGCTGCGATAGTCTCGGGCTCTGATCACGCATGCAGCAAGAGGGCCGCATGGGGACGGAGCCGAGACGCACACTTCCCACTTGCATGGGAGGTGGCTATTGAATGCTTGTGGTGTGATGCATGTGTTGAGGGTGGGGGGGGGGGAAGATGTGGTGGTGTGGCCGGCGGTTGTCTACCGCAGGCTATCGTGAATGCACGTGAGACTTAGGAGGCTCATGTGATGGGTGGATGTACATGGGCAATGCGAGCAGATAAGTCGAATACGTCTGGTGTATGTGGGTGCTCAAGGTACCGCTTCACCAGTGTCTGTGCGGTGGATTTGCAGGTGACCGAGCAGGCTAGTGTGTGAGGTGAATGTACGGGGACAGTGGGGACAGGAAGAGCCGGCGTTGTGAATGTCGGTTTTGATGATGGTGGCAGTAGTGGTGCTGCTGAAGGTGGGCGTGGTGGTGAATTTCACCCTCATGGATAGGCATGTGACCGAATAAGCCCATACGGTGAGTGAATGTGTGTTGGCAGTCCGGGCTGTAGAGGTGGATGCTACGAGAGTGCGTGGGTAGTCCAGGCTCTGGTTCACCGGTCTCTGTTCAATGGACTCGCAAGTGGCCGACCAGGCCGATGTGTTAGGTGGAGGTGCGGTTACAATGAGGACTGGTATGTGCCGAGTCGACATTGCTGGCGTTGACGGTGGGGAGGTTGATGTATGTTGGTGTGTTAGAATTGTATGCAGTGGTGGTGGGTACAGGAGTCGCCGCAGGGGATGTTTAGGCGATGGAAGACAGTGGGGGTTCAGGAGTGCGGTCAGTGTTGATGGTCGACGTGAGGGCGAGGTATGGGTGGACGGGATGACATCGGGTGGTGTCGGTCACGTGCTGCAGTTGGTACGAAGACGTCCAATAAGTCCGATTGGTGTCTGAAACGTCCGTCGACATCGTGAGCAGGTTAGGGGCGGTCGATCGTTGGCGTTGCGAAATGGGTGCAATTGGGATTTACGAGCCTCGCGTTTCGCTTTGGCGGCGGTGATGCGGGTGGCATCGTAGATTGCCGCGCCGGTCTTCACTGCTCTCCTCCAGGTCGGTCGGTCCAGGGCGAGATCTTCTTAGTTGGCTGGGTTGATTTGTATGCACTTCAGGGAGGTCTTCAAAGTATCCTTGTAACGCCGGACTTGACCTCCTTGTCGGCGGAACCCATGGCGACATCTCCATAGAAGAGTTGTTTGGGTAGCCGCTCGTCGCCAATGCGCACGGGATGGCCGCTCCAACGCAATTGCACTTGTCCCAGCATGGCGTAGATGCTGAGGATTCCCGTCTGTTCCAGTACGTCCGTGTCCGGGATCCGGTCCCGCCACCTCACCTTCAATATCCGTCGGAGACAGCTGAGGTGGAAGTGGTTGAGTCTGCGTGCCTGCTTCTTGTACACCGTCCAGGTCTCCGCTCCAAACAGCATCGTCGTAAGGATGACCGCTTTTGACGCCTTGAGCTTGGTGCTGATGTGGAGACCATGGCAATTCCAGACCGCGTTTTGCAGACCGAAGGCTTGGCTGAACTTGGGAATCCGGCGGACGAATTCATCGCCAAATTTAGTGTTGTGAAAGAGGGTGCTGCCCAGGTAGATGAAGTTGTCCAAGGCTTGCAGTTGGGCGCCGTTCATGTTGATTTGGGGTGCGACTTAGGCAGCGTCAGGTGTCGGTTGATGCATAACCACCGTCTTCTCCGTGTTGATGGCCAGGTCGAAGTTGTCACAGGCAGCAGCAAAGTGATCCGATCTTTGTATGTCGCCTTCTGTAGTTGATTTGCAAGCGCAATCGTCGGTTAAGAGAAGTTTATGAACGGAATTTGCGGATACATGCGACTGGAAGTGCATCGGACGATGATGAAGGAGTTGGCCGTCCGTCCTGTAGGCGATGCGGATCCCAGGGCGTTCGACACGGTAGGCGTCCATCATCATGACGTAGAACATGAGACTGAAAAGGGTAGGCGCGAGGATGCAGCCCGGCTTCACTCCGTTGGTCACCGCGAATGCCTCCAAGACAACTCCGTTGTCCGTGTCTCGTGCCATCATCCCCCCGTGGAGCTAACGCACCATCTGAGTGAATCGTTCGGAACAGCCGAATTTCTGCATGATTTTCCATGGTCCTTCGCGATTCACCGTGTCAAAGGCCTTCGTCAGATCAACGAAGGTAGAATACATGTGAGTCCGCATCTCCCGACACTTCTTTTGCAAATAGAAGCGAAGAGGCGAGTTCCTCGGAGTAGTTGCGAAGAGGGAGACGACGATCACTAGAACAGGCCGGAATTTTGGAATCGATATTTGGATGATACCTTTGTCGCCATCGAAGGGGATCAGGGACTGAAATTCAAAGAACATCTCAGCGCCGTCTTCCCGCACATCCAATTTACGATGAAGGAAGAAGGAAACAACTAGCTGGCCTTTCTTGATGTCCTCGTCTGCTGCAAAGGTTGTGGTGGCCTAAATCCAAAATATTCAAGAAGGCGACGAACGCGACGCAATTACTGAGCAACAACAGCAAGAATGTCTCGGAAGCCGTCAGCTGCCTTCTTACGCCCCTTGGAATTGGAGTTGCACCCAGACCGGAGGCAACCATAAGGTGCCAGATCATAAGACCGAAAGACCCACTTCTACGACAGAAAGCACCTGGAGTCATATACCGGGTCTGATACAGATGCGGACAAAGCAACTACGTCGGGAAAACCGGAAGACTACTCCGAACGCGAGTGACCGAGCACGCAGCAGCAAGGAGGAGGAACGACGCCAACTCCCAAGTCGCGACTCATTCGACGGTGCCCAACCACAGTGTTAAGTTTGACGAGGCAGAAATCCTTGCTAGAAGCGACAACCGCGTGAGCCGCGAACTACTCGAGTCATGGTTTTCCGGTTTTCAAGCAATCAACAAGCGCAACAAACTCCCCGCTCTATATTCGACGCTGAGACTTAGTCTAGGCAAAATAGTTAACCGCGGGGCGAGCGTGCGGACGGTCACTGTCTCTGATTTCAATGTCTGCGAGCAAAACTGCCCAGGAACCCACATGGATGACGAAATCCGGTCGTCAGCAAATCGACTGCCAACGATGAACGTAGGGGCCGGTAATCTTGACCGGTACACAGGCTCATAGCAACTGCATGCACCTGGCTGGTCGAGCCGTGATGCACTCGGGAGCCGCCGATTGTAATAGGCATGTAGCTTCCTAGCGACTATATCCTATAAGTGCTTCAATACCTGGGCAATTCACTTCCACTTTCTGGCCTCGCCTCTGATGATGGATTCGAGTGAGAATCCTAAACGTCAGGTTAAAAAGCATTTGTCCCAGCGATCGTGTCTCCTTCTTCATGACTTCTCTTGCAGTTGGCGGAGGACGAAGACCATGTGGTTCCACGATGACGGCGGAAGCCGCACTGGCTTTCCGGCAGGGGAACCTGTTCCAGGTGGTTGTTGAGACGGTTGAGAAGGATTCGAACATAGATTTTCCTGGCCATGTTCGGCAGGGAGATGACACGGCGGTTGTCGCAGAGTTGGCGAGTACTTTTCCGCTTGTAGAGATGGACGATTGTGGCGTCTTTGAAATTCTGAGGGACTTTTCCTTGACGCCATATCTCCTGGAAGAACGCCGTCAAATGATTCATAAGTTGCGGCGAAACGTGTCTGTAGATCTCAGTAGGGATTCCGTCCTATCCGGGCGCTTCCCCACTTGAGAGCTGCTGTACGGCCTTGGTGGTTTCTTGGAGAGAGGGCGATAGGTCGGGGTCGGCGTTGGTTTCCACTTGTGTCGGTTGGTCAGTGGCGATCTCGGAGATGGAGGGACGGTTGAGGACACCTCTGAAGTGCACGGCCCATCGCTTAAGAATTTGCGTCGTCTCAATGCGAAGGGTAGTTCTGTCGGCTCTGAGAAGAGGAGCGGTCCCTTTGGCTGTGGGACCGCAGACAACCTTGATCGCAGCGAAGAAATTCTTCCATTCGTTGCGGTCCGCGTACTCTTACACCTCCTCGGCCTTGCGTGCCATCCAGGCGTCCTCAATCTTTCACAGCCGCTGTTTTGTTTGCGTCGGTAGAGCGGTTAGCGTAGTCTTTGCGCAAATGGTTCTTCTCGACGAGTAGGTTGATGATGACTGCCTCATTGTCGTTAAACCAGTCCTGATGTTGGCGACGTGCGCGACCGAGAATAGAGAGGGCCGTCGATTGGACTGTGTCCCTCAGTTGACACCATCGGTTCTCCACGGAGGCGTTCTCGTCGGCGGCAGCGGTGACTGGCTAGTCGCTGAGTCAGCTCGTTGCTGGAGTGGAGATGGTTAGTAAGCATCCACAACAAAGCAATATTCAGCTTACCTGTGGGTCGCTTACCTTGAGGTCACCTGCGAGGCTGTAGGCGAATCCTTGGAGCTGACGAGGCGATGGTCGGTCAACCCGTCGGCACCCGGAACCGCCTTTGTCAATAGTGCGTCCTGCTGGTCTCGCCTCCGGACGAGGACATAGTCCAGCAGGTGCCAGTGTTGAGACCGAGGATGAATCCAGGTGGCCTTCTCGCATCGGGAGGCAGAAATAGGTGTTTGTCAGGGTGAGCTGGTGTTCTGCGCAGGTTTGTAGGAGGAGCAGGTCATTGTTATTGGAGCCGTCGAGACCATGGGAACCCAGCACTCCTCTCCAGGCTGTATGGTCTGTGCCGACGTGGGCGTTGAAGTCACCAGGGACAACTAACCTATCCGCCTTCGGCACAGACGACAGGAAAGCATGCACGTCCTCGTAGGATTTGTCTCTTGCGGCGTCATGGCTGGTCGTTTGTAGGCGGTTGACGCTGATAATGGTGGCAAATATGCCTTCCTGGAGAGGCAGGCGGAGGCTCATCAGACGGTCGTTGATGCCTTAAAGCTGATAGGGCAGTCGTTCCACGGTGTCGTTCCGCATGGCAAAGGTGAAGCCCGCATCTCCTTGCTCTGCCCTGGGGCAGCCGCTCCAGAGGAATGTGTAGCGGGCACCTACCTCCTCCAGTTGGCCTTGTTTGGAGAACCGGGTCTCGCCGAGTGCTGCGATGTCCACCTTGTAACGCGCCAGTTCCCGAGCCACTAGCGCTGTCCTCCGTTCCGGTTGTTTGCTCCTGGGATTGTTTAAAAGGGAACTATCATTCCAGGCTGCCAGATGAGCGAACTCACCTTATCACCCTGGGGTGTCGAGCGGCGGGGAGAGGGAAGAGAGAGACACTGTGTGTTGTTTCTTATTTGGTTGTTTCGACCGCAGGTGTAACAGTCTGAGAGCCACAGTCTGCGCGCGGATGTCGTGAATCCAGCATTTACCTAGGGTGCCCTTTTGGCCCCCTCCCCCTCGTGGGGGCAAATCTTGCTCTCCGTAAATAGAACTGTTCATTTGCACCAGACAGCTGCCGCTCTCCACTATGGGCCACGACTTCGTTTAGTGGGCCAACGACCCGAGTTAGCTTGGGCTGCCTACGTGATCACCTTCGTTCTTGCTGTAGGACTTTTGATGTGGGGGATAAGGGAAGGGTCGAGAGACGGGAAGTAGAGATCCCCGTCCCTCTTTGAGTTAGCAGATTGCTGACAAGGTTAACAGAATGGTATTCATGAGGACGGTACCTAGCTTACACCAAGGACGAACATAAACAGACGAAGACAAATAAGCAAGAACAAACGAAAGAACAAAGACAAAAAAGCCATATTCGGCCTACCTGGGGGGTCACTGACCTTGTGATCCCTTGCGGGGTTGTAGGCGAAGCCTCATCTTGGAGGTGGCGGTGCGGTGATCAGTGCGGCCAGCGGTTGAGGGAAGGGAGCGGAGAAATCGTGTGTGGTGGTACACACACGGATACCCCCACCTGGTTTATCCCGCTGGTCGAAGCGGTTACCGGGGTTTGGCCGCATGACAGAGCCCAGCCTTTGGGATCCACATAAGAGAGTTGGGTGCCAGCTAATGCACCCTAGCCGTAGTCCACACCTGCAAGCAAGCGCGGGACCTGCTACGACCAGGACGTGGACCCAAAGCTGGACACCCCTACACCCCGGCAGAGGACTCACAGGCTTGATCACCCACACATATAAGCTGGAACATTAACCCGACTCCCCTTCGCTCCGGAGGACTGCCGGCAACAAATGATAGTTCGACCGTCGTGACCGAGGATGTCCACGGCGTGCTCCACAGCAGGGTGAGAGCAAGGATGATGACTTGCGCGTGGATTTGCTTAGAGTGGTGGTATACCTGAGCTGAGTCTGCTGCACTCTCTCCACCTCCCCCACATGTGCTTGGTGTTAAAACAGAGCCAAGAAGACCGGAGGCAGGAGAGGGAGCAGGTGAATGACGCGGTGAAAACCTGCGCCTAGGCGTGCTGTCACACTCCCTGGCCACAACGTACACTGAACAGGATTTTACAAAACAAGAGGAGAAAGGGACGGGTCGAATCTCACGGAGTCGTAGTGCCAAAAATCCCACATTAGGAAGCAACCACTGCGGCCTTACTCTCAGTCCGCCAGTCGGTCACTCCATGCAAACACACACTGGGCTGACTGCGAGGTCCGGGTTGTCCGCTGGTTTGTAGCCCTCCAAGCCACGACTTTAAGCGCACCATGGTAGCTTCAAGCGCGTCAGATCGCTTATAGTTGGAAAAAATTGCTGATACGTCGACCTTATTCTCTCTTCCATCCCCAAACCCCAGCCACTGTCCGAACCGGTCATTTCTCTTATGCGAGGAATCTGCGCTGTGGCTGATATAGCTAGTGACCTCGTCAGCGCGTTCCACATACATGATCTGGCCCTCCAAACACAAGCACCAGGATTTCACGCAACAAGGGGTGGGTAGCATGGGTTTCACAAGCTGGTGTACCAGAGAGAGCCATTGCAGTCTACCTCTCAGTCGACAGTCGGCCACTACGCAAGAACGCACATTAGACTGATTGCGAAGTCTGAGTTCAGTTGAGACTTGGAAACCTTCCAAGTCACGTTACTAAGCGCACCGTGATAGGTTCAGGCTCGGATGAAACATGCAGCAGAAGAATCATGTGAAGGAGGAGCCGAAAAGCGCACTTCCCACTTAAATGAGAGG